ATGGAATGGTGGAAGCTTTATGGTGGAGAAAATGGACATGAAACCCTACGGAGAGACAGCTGTTAGTTGTAGAATAAATATTGTTGACTTTGAGTTGAAAATGACAGCAGCTAGTAGTACATTACCTAACGTCTTCATACTAACTTATTCAAGGGGACATAAAAGGGGACCGGGTGCTCTTCTCCACATATACATGTGTTTATATATACTTCATAGCGCCTCATCTGGTTAAACCCTCAGGACACCCCAAGATAATGCCCCATTTCACAGGTGAGGAAACCTTCATCAGAGCAGAGGTGGTTTGTCCACAGTCACACGGTCAGCAAGTGCTGAGGCTGGGATTTGAACCAGGTCTGTCGGACCTTAACTATGCTCCTTCCTTGTGGCCATGTTCATCCCATGGATGAGCCCAAAAAAACGTAAAAAATGAGGAAAGACAAAACCAGGATGTTGTGAAATGCACAGCTGTCTGCTGCCCCTGCCCCACATTCCTTGCTCCACAGCCCCTTCCTGCCATCACTCCAACACCCATTTCCACTGTGACATCTTCTCTCTGACTGTGACCCTACTTTCTCCCTTGTATAAGGGCTGTTGTCATTACATTGGTCTCAACAGGATAATTCAAATTTATCTCCTGATCTGAGAAATTTTAATTTAATCATGTTGAAGAATTTCCTTTTGCCACAGAAGGTAGCATTCATAGAATTCAAAGATTAGGACATAGATATCTTCTTTTGTGAGGGTGTTATTCATCTCAGTAACAATTGTCATTGTCCATACAACTGTCCCCACTAATGTAGAATAAAAATATCCAAGACAGATTTATGAGCAATAGGGATGGAAGAAATCTGCAACTTGGGTTCCTGTGATCTGTGGGGGTTTTTGTTTTTTTGGGGGGGGTTCTTATTCACCTACCTCTAATGTCTAAAGGTGACTTCACAGTGTGTAGATATTTTTTAAACTCCTTTGATTTTGTGACCTATAAGAAAAGAATTACTTCTTAAATATCATCAAAGAGAGATTGTTAAAGTCAACATGTCTTAAATTGTCTAAATTTTCTTACACATCGAGAAGAAGTGGAAAGAATTTAGACCCTTTGAGAGTAAAAATTGGTCCACTGCCTTAGGTTGGGTCCACCAGTGGCAAGGATTCCCCTGCAGGCATTATATTCACAAGGTGCAGGAATCACTAGGAGAGAAGAAGAAAAGAGAGACAGGGAAGAGAAGATGGACAGAGAAAGGCACATCAGCAAGTCAGCCAGCGCTGAGGAGGACTGTTCCTCAGGTCCATGTGGATACACAGGAAAATTCCTCCAGCTATTCCCCATGAGGTCTGAGGGAGCTGGGGTATGTGCACACCCCTCCTGTCATCAGTGATTGAGGGCTGTCCCAGAGGATGCCCATTCCAGGCCTGTGGTCTGCTATGTGCACAGACAGAGCTGCCTTTCTCACCTTCAGAGAGAGCAGTGAGGCACAGACATGGTCTTTAAAAGTCAGCTGTCACGTCTTGCGGAGAGACAGAGACACAAAAGATTACTCAATGCCCTGATGTTAAGAGCAATGAGAATCCTGAAGGGACTGCACCAAAGAAACTCCATCAAGAGAGGAGAGACCAGTCACAGCCCTGAGTCAGTTTTTGCTTCAGCTTTTTTTTATAAAGACAAGAAAGTTACAGAAGAAAAACAGA